GACTGTCACATTATAACGCCCCCACGGCTGAAAGGGCGAGCATGTTTGGTGGGACAGGGATTGGAACCCGCGACCCTCAGATTGCGAGTCGAGCGTCCTAGCCACCTGGCCGTGTCGAGCCTGTAATGACTGATACAAAACAAAAATGCTTCTACTTATAGATTCCACTAATTTGTCTTCAACTATTTAACTAATTCTGTAGAAGTTTCGAAAATAATGTTCTACAATGTAGTATGGGGAAAAAAATGGTTTCTTCTTTCTTTCCTACGTCATCAAGCATGAACAGTCTAAAGACATTTTCTACAATACAGAAACAAGATAACTCTTAAGGTTAAATAAAGTTACAGCAGTTGTGTCATGTATGAAATTTAGTGGAACGATGCTTTAATAGGCCAGGTTTTCCTGGTAACCCTTTTTTTATATATTTTTTTACATCAAACTAATGTTTTAGCTTTTTCTTATTTTTAAATTTTAATCTATCTTTCATGAAATAGATTTCGCATGATGGGGGCAATATTGATTGTTCTCAAATGTATTCACGCAGGTATCGAACCCCGATTTTTAGCGTTATAAACCCTTAAACTTGTAACTGGCCCACCGAAGAGTTGTGTTCATGGGATTAACTAATTGTTTGCGAGTAGTTAGTCAGTAATAGCCTTTTTTAGAACTCTTTAACGACAGAATGTTGAGGTGTTTTTTTTTGTTCCTTTTTTTAGAGCCAGACAGCCTGGATTTTAATTATTATCACATTTTTATGAAGAAAGCTTCATTGATCAAAGCTTTTTCTTTCTGATTTGTCTGAAAACCAGATGTCTCTGTGATCTCGACATGTTTTCTTAAGTTTGTTTGTATTACAGCAAAGCCACATTGGACGATCTGCTGTGTCCATAGCGGAAAATCGAACTATTAATTTTAACGTTGTAACTCCGTAGACTTACTGCTGTCCCGCCAGGGGGACTTTTTCTTTCTTAAGTAAATGGTGTATACGATACTAATTTCACTTTCTTGGTATATTGCGATGAGGGTTTCTATTTTCGGTTTTTTACCGACTCCCGATTCTGTAAAAATATTTTACTGGTTTTAACCGATTATATCCGTATTTGGACTGTCTTAGAACCCTCTACTTGTATTATTTTGTTTCCGCTTTTTTTTCACCCACTAATTATCTTCTGCCCCCCCCAGTGGCTCAGCGGTATGTCTGCGGACTTACAACGCTAGAATTCGGGTTTCGATACCCGTGGTGGGCAGAGCACAGATAGCCCATTGTGTATCTTTGTACTTAATTACAAACAAACAAACAATTATCTCATGTATAAAATGATGCAATGACAAATCCCCGGGAAACTCTATATAAAAGGGAAAAAAATCACAGAACCTTGATCTCATTTTACACCGTTTCAAGATAAGAATGATTACCATACGTGCACAAGTCTGGTATAAATACTTTATACAATAACGAAAACATTAATAATGTTATATAACGTAAATGCCTAGTATTTAAATTATCATTGTTAACCATAGGTTATCGTCAATATTGACTACTCTGGTAACGTCCTTATCATTGTTAACCATAGGTTATCGTCAATATTGACTACTCTGTTAACATCCTTATCATTGTTAACCATAGGTTATCGTCAATATTGACAACTCTGCTAACGTCCTTATCATTGTTAACCATAGGTTATCGTCAATATTGACTACTCTGGTAACGTCCTTATCATTGTTAACCATAGGTTATCGTCAATATTGACTACTCTGGTAACGTCCTTGTCATTGTTAATCATAGGTTGTCGTCAATATTGACTACTCTGGTAACATCCTAGACCAGGAATACAAATTGGCTTACTACAGAGAAGACATTGCCGTAAACGCTCACCACTGGCACTGGCATCTTGTTTATCCTGCCACCTGGAGGGAAAATGTGACAGGAAAACCTAAAGATCGTAAAGGAGAATTGTTTTATTACATGCATCAACAGATGTGTGCTAGGTGAGTCAACAGATGTGTGCTAGGTGAGTGTACTATAGATATTAACGGACCATCATAATTTGTAATACACTTGTTGTTTTATTGAATGCATCAACAGATGTGTGCTAGGTGAGTGTACTATAGATATTAACTGACCATCATAATTTGTAATACACTTGTTGTTTTATTACATGCATCAACAGATGTGTGCTAGGTGAGTGTACTATAGATATTAACGGACCATCATAATTTGTAATACACTTGTTGTTTTATTACATGCATCAACAGATGTGTGCTAGGTGAGTGCACTATAGATATTAACGTACCATCATAATTTGTAATACACTTGTTCCTGGTATAGAAATCAAATCGTGTTATGCTTGATATTCTCAATGGTGTGAATCGAAAAAAAAAATGTCCATTCATAAAATCAAACGACGATCAAGAATTTAGTCCATTAAATTCGATGACGAGGAACCCACTTTGAGACTAATAATGCTTGGAGACAACGTTTCGACAAGGTGTTGTCATCATCAGGTATAGAGAGGGGGGGAATGTCACAGGTAATTTGTCGAAACGTTGTACATTTGCTGTTGTGTTAGACTTATATTAAAGTTTTTCTTCATTACCCATTCAAGCCGTCTCCAAGCATTATTAGTCCAGTAAAATTTTCAATTCTACACCCATTTTTTTTTGTGACACCCCGTTCTCGTTTGACACCTATTTACAAGTGCGCTATATAACTATAGAAAGATTCTGCAGCCACTTGTATAATTTTACTTGTGCTGTTTGCCAACAAATGTTATCTGTATTTGCGTGGCTAATATAAACATGCGCGTAAAAAATAAACACACGGAGAACTGTTTAAATGGCTGATTTGGCTGAATGTGTTTATTTCAAACGATGGTTACGAGACACCTTCTTCGAGTCTAATTTTTATATTTCCAACGTGGTTTTAAGTTGAAAATTAATCTTTAGAAAGAAAAAGAGATTTTACAAAATATTTTCGGAATGGAAATGATGTCTGTATGTCTCTATTTGTAACACTCATAAACAACAACGAGTAAAACCTTAACGTCCATACGTTCTCACATTCATGGTAATATTTTCACGTTTGTGTAATATACTGAGTAGACAAACCTCAATTAAAAACATTTAACATATTGTGAAAGGCTCGTACTTCTACTGATAATTATCAAAAACACCTTCTTAACCCTTCTGAATTTTAAAATGAAAACTCTATGAAAATGTTGGATAAAAATTACATATTTTTTGATCTACTCATTCCTGATGACAACCATGAAAATGGACGACCATAGACGTTTTCAGTCTCTTATAGTCTAATTCTTACGAATCAGTGTAGAATGTCTTTTGTACGGTTTAACATAAGAAATATGTAACCGACAATAACGCCTGTTATTTTTTTTTTTTTTTTTCGTAGGTATGACTGTGAACGACTCAGTAACAAGATGACCCGCGTGGATCCTTTGGATAACTGGCATAAAGAACTCGAAGGGTATGGGCCTCACTTGTGCTCGTTGTTGAATGGCTTGCACTACGGTATGCGGCCTAGTGGTCTGAAAATACATGATATTTCAGACATTGATATTTATGAAATGAACCGTTGGGTAGAAAGAGTGTTGGAGGCTATAAGTCTTGGCTACGTTGTTGATTCCGAGGGAAATGAGGTTTCACTCAACGCACAAAATGGGACAGACATTCTGGGAGATCTAATCGAAGCAAGCACGGAGTCTCTCAACCAAAAGTATTACGGAAGTATTCACAACTGGGGTCACGTGATGTTGGCAGCCGTTCACGATCCTGTCGGAAAGTATAAAGTAGGTGAGCCTTTACTAATAACGTGAATATGAATGAAATTTACTAATCTTATGCTAGCATAATTAGTAAATTTTGTAGAATGGTTACTTATTTTCATAATGATTGATCTTAGGCATCCTTAATATGCCTAGAAATTAAAAATAAGTTTCTTTCATTTGAAACATTGATTGTACGTCCATCTTTAAAGCACAATTTTCACATATTTATGTTATATGGAACTACGTATCGTGAGTATAAAGTTAAAATTCAATATTCTTCAGAAACTTTATTAAAACACACGAGCATATATTTATATAGATATTTGTTTTCAGAATTGTTATTCTTAATTCACATTCGGAACGATATGCGATTAGTATTAGCTGAGAGTGATCATCTAATTTTAAAATATATATATAATGTAAAAACTATTTTTTCTTCTTATTATAGCACTTTGTGTTATTTGTACCAGGAGTCATGTATAACACTTTTTGTTATTTGTACCAGGAGTCATGTATAACACTTTTTGTTATTTGTACCAGGAAGACCCAGGAGTCATGTATAATACTTTTTGTTATTTGTACCAGGAGTCATGTATAACACTTTTTGTTATTTGTACCAGGAAGACCCAGGAGTCATGTATAACACTTTTTGTTATTTGTACCAGGAGTCATGTATAACACTTTTTGTTATTTGTACCAGGAAGACCCAGGAGTCATGTATAACACTTTTTGTTATTTGTACCAGGAGTCATGTATAACACTTTTTGTTATTTGTACCAGGAAGACCCAGGAGTCATGTATAATACTTTTTGTTATTTGTAGCAGGAGTCATGTATAACACTTTTTGTTATTTGTAGCAGGAGTCATGTATAACACTTTTTGTTATTTGTACCAGGAGTCATGTATAACACTTTTTGTTATTTGTAGCAGGAGTCATGTATAACACTTTTTGTTATTTGTACCAGGAGTCATGTTTAACACTTTTTGTTATTTGTACCAAAGAAACCCAGGAGCCATGTTTAACACTTTTTGTTATTTGTACCAGAAAACCCAGGAGCCATGTTTAACACTTTTTGTTATTTGTACCAGGAGTCATGTTTAACACTTTTTGCTATTTGTACCAGGAAAACCCAGGATCCATGTTTAACACTTTTTGCTATTTGTACCAGGAAAACCCAGGAGTCATGTTTAACACTTTTTGTTATTTGTACCAGGAAAACCCAGGAGTCATGGATGACACTTCTACTTCTCTACGTGACCCTATCTTCTATCGTTGGCATCGTTTCATTGACAACATGTTTCAGGAATTTAAAACGAATTTACCTCCCTATTCAAAGCACGAGGCGAGTTTCTTATTGGTCATATTTTATGTTTTGTGGTTTTTATTATTTAAGCATCTATAAATCTCACAGGCTTATCAGTGTTAGAAGTTTAGTTAGCCATAATTTCAAGCCAATCAAATTTCAGGACAGCATAGTTCTTTGTTCTCAGAAGAAGAGGAAGAAAAACGGGGGGAGGGATTTGTTCCTGTGATAAGTCGGGCTGTTTAGCCAGCAAAATACTGTAATATAAGTATAAGTTATGTTGTTTATTATTAACTGATGTAATTTTACAAAAGATATATCGTATCTACAGAAATGTAGAGGTGGGTGTACACTTTGTTTTTTGTTATATATATATAATAGAGTAAAGAGCGATAATTAGACTTTCTACTGGCCAATAGAATATTCAATACCAACTACTACGTTTGAGACGTGCCCCATGTTCTGTCAATATTCTTCCACAGTTCATACAGATTCGCTGCTTTCACTCAAAATCCTTTTTAAAATGTGTATATTTCACTCTACGGTTAATTGAAGGAAATCGAATGTAAGCTGAAAACCGTAAATATATAAATACGCACTAGGAAGATAAGATACTGTATGCAGTAAGAATTTAAACTTCATACAATTTTTTGGGGTTTTAATAGCGGATTTTTTCATAATTATTATTTTTTCTATTACGTAAGGATTTTTTTACAAATTGGGAAGAAAAAAAAACTCTTACTTAGATCAAATTATTATTTTGTTTACCACAATGAACATTTTTTTATTATTATGTTTGTTACAAAAATGCAAACAAACTGAAGAAAAGGGAAGAACATTGATGTCAAACGAATATGCATCCTCGTGTTTTTGTGTGAAATCTACGTCTTTTAGTTTCAAACTACGTGTTGTGGTCTTTCTTTAATGTATTACGTTTTGTGAAAAATCTGTACGTGATGGAGAAAAATGGATATCATTTTCGGGTTCAGCGTACAGGAATTACTGTAGAACATGTAAACATTTCAAGACAATAAAAACCATCGCAGACCTGTGTCACCTTTCATACAACTCACTTTTTGCTGCATCATTAGTTATCCGTCGCGAGTTTGTGACATGCGTATACATTCAATGCATTTGGTTAGATTCCTCCTACCATTATATTTTTGGATTAGTTAAAGACAAGTTAAGAGAAACTCTTTTTTATTATTTATATATTTGTATTTATTATTATTATCTTTAAATTGTGTACACGTTATTGCAATTATATTATGATGGCATAAGGACGATAAAATAGAAATAAAAGATCGTTTCTATTTATTTCGAAGTATATTAATTTACTCGTCAATAACATTTAAGATGGTGATGTAACTTTGTCTTTTCAGTTGGAGTTCCCAAAAGTGAATATTGGAAAGGTGACTTTACATGCTACCAAATCTAATTATCTGCAGACTTTTGAAGAAGACCATTACTTGGAATTATGTCATGGAGTACAGTTTTGCAAGGAAGGTTCTGTCAAGGTTTGTTTGTTTGTTTTTTAATTTTGCGCAAAGCTACACGAAGGCTATCTGCGCTAGCCGTCCCTAATTTAGCAGTGTAAGACTAGAGGGAAAGCAGTTAGTCATCACCACCCACCGCCAACTCTTGGGCTACTCTTTTACCAATGAATAGTTGGATTGACCATCACATTATAACGCCCCCACGACTGAAAGGGCGAGTATGTTTGGTGTAACGGGGATTCGAACCCGCGACGCGCAGATTGCGAGTCGAGCGCATGAATGAAACCTGGTTATCCCGTAAAGCCCGCAAAGCATCTTTAGGCTATATCTTCATTTAATGATAAAAACCATAGTTTTTGGCTTTTCTTTGCATATAGACGCTTGATACATTAAGAACGACTGAAATAATAATTTGAGTAATAATTAATATGTATTTGTTACTTTATAAATTTAATAGATATTTGTTGTTACTTTATTAACGTTTTTACACTTATACTGTGAGGTAAAAATGGTTACCGTTATGATTTTGTCTGGTTTATGAGCTCGTTGCTGTCCTAATTTAAGATCTTCTTTTTAATAAGTTATTAAAAATGTTAAAAACAGAGAGCGAGAAAGGGGGCCCGGCGAGGATGTTTGCCCAGGGACCCGTGCTGGCTCTCGACGTTCCTGAATAAATTAAAATAAAATTATGTTACACTTAGAATGACACAATTATGATGAGCACCGTAGTACTTAGAATATTTATACAAACCATTTTTATTTTCAGGTGCACTACAAGCGTCTACAGCACGAAGAATTCAATTATAACATTGAAGTTCACAATGATAGTAGTTCCAATAAGAATGCTGTAGTGAGAATCTTTTTGGCACCAAGAGATAACGAGCTTGGAAATCGTCTGGAATTGGATGATCAGCGCCATCTCTTTATCGAATTAGACAAGTTCCACGTAGTTTGTATGTTATAGATTTTCCTGTTTGGCAGTACCTTGGATATTTTTTATATATATTTCATGAAATCAGTAAAATAGAAATTTATGACGTAGAGTATGTTTATATAGATTAGAATCTACTACTTTTTAATAATAGAAAAATTATAATTGACTGATATTCAAGGCCAGATATTTCGTCGATTCCTAGCTACATATATTGCATTAAGGCTTAAATCACCTGTTAGTAACAGAATGACTATAATTTCAGATTATAAAGTTTTAATCTCTCAAAATGAAAATCGAAAAAGGGGAAAAGAATTATAATAATATCCTAGCCAAGCCCGGGGCAGCAATTAACAAACACCTTTATTTTATCATGGCTTCTGAAAACGCGAATTATCAATTGGTATTATGATGTTTTAAAGACACTGTCACTTATGAAATAACCATCGGGTGTTTTGATTGTAAAATAAATTTAAATGGGGTTGTCCCTATTCATATCCATAATGGTTTCGCCTACCATATTCCTGGTATACGAAATCAAATTTCAGCGTTCTTTCAAAAAGCAGAATGAGAAGTAAGCGTTTGTTAACTCCTGTTCTTGGCTAACATTTTTAGAAACAACGATCAACTGCTAGTTAGTTTTAACTTTAGATGTAAATGCGTTATAAAAATAACAAAATATTGGATAAAATCCTTGTGGGAGAGAGTGTTGTTGGCTGGCTTCCCTCCCTCTGCTCCGTAGTTCAAATTTAGGGACAGTTACACCTGCACTTTAGAGGTCTGTGACCTAACCGTTTTGGCCTATGTATAGATAATATTAGTATGTAAAAGGGTTAGAAGTTCATTAAAAAAAGAAATATAATATCATCTTATCCGCAACTGTATTATTTCTTTTCCCTTTTTCAAACTCCTTTATACTAGTCCTTTACTTATTCCAACTAAAACAAAATTGACTTTGCATTGATGTTGCGTGGGAACGAGGCCTAACATGGCTGTAAATGTTTCATCTCAGTCTTCTTAATTAATGCACTAAGAATTTATATTTTATCAGTCCCAAATCATCGTCAAACTCTACCAAAATGACATTATCACACACACAAGAAGTGTGATATCAAACAAAAATCTTTGATAGTTGGAAAGAAGAAACCAGAAGTAGCTTACAATGTGTAAATTGTTAACCAAGTTATATTTACGAACCGTGCTAATATTAAAATACAAAATGTGAAAAGGTATGGAGTTTACTTGTCTTTAATCAATATAATGATTAATTAGTATTTTCATTTCATAAACACAATAAATCAAAATATTTCTCCTGGTCTTTAGTAAATCCCGGCGAAAATACAATCACCAGAAAATCAAAGGACTCTAGCGTTACTCTCTCTAAAGAAAGAACGATTGACGAACTCATGAAAGGCGAGGGACTGAATGATGACAACAACGAATTCTGCAGTTGTGGATGGCCTCAACATATGTTGATTCCCCGTTCTAACGAAGAAGGCATGGTATTCGATCTATTTGTGATGCTTACCAACTGGGAAAACGATAATGTAAGTGAAACTGGTTCAGTTTATTAAACTTATTGTAAGGTGTACAAAGATGCAATGTTTGAACAGTTACACAGTTCTTAGGTAAATAAGGGAAACTTGTAAGTGCTGTAATAAAGACATGGTAATGAAATAATTCTACTATGTTATAAACGAAAACGTGCTATTATATTCTAGATCACGTAATTTAAACCTCAATATCCAACACAGTGGACATGATGTGTTTGCTGTTTTGCAGGTTAATGGTCATTCTAGTGAGGAAGCTATTTGTACGGATGCTGTGAGCTATTGTGGCGCAAAGGACCACAAATATCCAGACCGTCAGGCAATGGGATTCCCGTTTGATCGTACGATTACGCACCACACCTTGTCCGACTTCTTGACCACCAATATGTCTGCTACCGAAGTCACCATTAAATTTAAAAATCATCACTAGCGATTTGATATACCAATATCTCTAATAAATACCAAATAATAGCTTTTTCTCAGAAGAATTGCAACCGAAAACAACCGTGTTGGGATTGACGAACAACCATGTAATTTGGTAATAAAAGGAATGATGCCTAAATATGTTTGATTCGTTTTTTTGTTGTTGTTGTTGTCAAGCGCAAAGCTAGGCAACGGGCTACCTGTACTGTAACCACCAGGTGTATCAAAACCGGGTTTAAAGTGTCACAACTCTTCTACCACTGAATCACAATTGCATTCAGAGAAACATTTGTACAGAAGTAATTCCAAACATGTGAAACTTCAGTAACTGCACGAACATACATCAAATGTTTCCTGCAGGTTTCTCATAATGATTATGTACAAGGCAACAGTGAAATCCCCCATTTTTATGTAACAGAAATCCTTAAGGTACAACTCCATCCTGTTGCACGTGTGTATGTGTGTATTATTTAACCAAGGTTATTCAATACCACAAACTACATATTTGTAAGATAAGTTATAATAACACCACATGCAGACTACTGGTGTACACGTACATAACGGAAACCATCATAAGTACTACAGTATACCAGCAGACTATTTTGAAGGCAAAAGAAAGTTAGTTATATGAAATATGTGTAACTATTATAAATAACATGTAGATTATTACTGTATGGTATGGATATTGTTTTGGTGGTTCACAAAATTCATATTTATTGCAACCATCACTTTTATTTCACTAAAGAATGCCTATAGTACATTAAGTGACACTACACAGTAAATAGATCACCAGGACAACATATTAATATCTGTTTAATGTATGCTAAATTTGGTTGATAAGGTAAGATACCTAGCATGAATGTTGAACTGTTACACAGTAAAAAACAACAAATATGGAAACAAAATAAACTTGTATTAAGTTTTATGGCTTAATTCTCCTGACTCATTTACAGTTCAAGTACAACAAACTGAAATATAAAAACAGTTAATAT